AAAGTGGCACTGCCTTCGTGGCAGCCAGTGCACTCGTCGAGTCGTGGCACATGCGCACGCAGTGCACGCATGCGTAATACAGTGCCGCGCTCTAACACGCACCGCTCTCGCACTCACTGTTTGCAGCATGTATTGTCACTTGCATAGAAGGCTTCATATTTGCCTCACATGGAAAAATTCTGATTACAAACATTTCATGGCAATTTCTACATTAGGATTCCGTGATTAGACACAATGATCTGTAACTTTTCCATTGTGCTAAATAAAATAGGTACCACAAAAACTGGTTGCCGATATCATAGAGCATTAGCAAAACTATGTTGTGCTGATGACAACGCTACTGTGCGCGTCAAGTCTTTCAGGGAGCAATTTTTCTTCTATATTTAGGCAGCCGGCTTTCTGTGTTAATTTTCTTTAAATGGATGTTTTTATACCATATCTCTGCATGCGTTATGTCACTAATGCCTCACCAAGTGCATCTTGTTTGTTATTATACAGCCAACACATGGCATTATCTTTGTGTTGAACCTGGTTAAGCGCTGTTCTTCAACTGTTCACCTTGACTCTTTGTTCACATTAGAGCAGCGTTACCTGTTCACTTATTGACAGCAGTCTGCAGAAAAGATTAGCGTACTTAGTGTTATACCTCTCCAACTGATTCCAAGCAACATTTTTTCTACTCGGAAACTGTTTTAATACACAATTATCTATGCTGAATTTGCTTAGAAATGGCTTTTTTTCTGCTCCAAGATTTACTCCAAATCCTAAACTAGTTAAGCCATCACTGATGGAGATTCGTTCAGCTCATAGATTTGCTGGAATTTGCGTTTGCAAATGAACCATACAGCACCTAAAAGATCTGCTATCCTCGACAGATTGCCGTAACTCTTTAGCAGAGAACAACTAATAGTCCTAATCAACAATCTTGCATTCTTGTTATTTTATTGCAAAAAGGCATTGGCCCGGATGGACACATTGCCTTCAACGAGCCTGGTTCAAGTCTCGCATCTCGGACGCGAGTGAAGACCCTAGCCAAGGACACAATTATGGCGAATGCGCGTTTTTTCGAAAATGACCTGACCAAGGTTCCCAAGGAAGCATTGACCGTTGGAGTGGGCACCGTGATGGATGCACGTGAGGTGAGATTACCGTCTGGTTATGGTGTCATAAAGCATCCCCTCGTTTACTTTTTAAATGTGAAGCATTTCTTTAGTGAACTGCCGGCACTATGAGCGTTTCTATCTTCGTATCTATCTATTTATCTATCTATCTATCTATCTATCTGGTGCTCTCGTGATCACCTCTATATAATTTGGTCTAGACCAAAATCGGTATGGGAAGCAGGCCCGCAGACAGGAATTTTTTTTCGGGGGGGGGGGGGGGGGGGGGGGTAGGGCTACAGGCTTGACGGGAGGGTAATACCCCTGTCACACGGTACCTATAATGTCATTCGCTGTGAATTACGTTAGTCGTTAATGTCATTTTTGTTGCTGCTACACAGGCATAGTAAATAGCATTCACACCTAATGGCATTCGCTCGTTGAATGTGTTCACCGAACTCATGGAAGCGCGACATGTGTTCTCTCATCAACAGGTACTTGACAATAGATTGCAAAATCGACATCTTGAAGCAGGTGTAAACAATGTCCAGATGTTTATTAAAGGTTGTTAACTTTTTGGTAACTTTTTAATGTGCAACACGATAGTGGAAGAAATTTGTGCAGCTATATTCTCTTCCCCAGGCTCCGACTTGATGTATGGGGCCTCCTGTTGGCCATGTTTACAAATTCTCGCTGTTGTTTTGCTGCTGCCTCGCCGCGTTAGACTCGCTCGTAACATAATGCGCATGTACATGTCGGACACCACTTTAGGGAGAGTGTATTCAAACCAATTTTCTTTTTGTGGGAAGCACTGCAGTTCAGTGTTATTGCGACGAAGTCGAAGCTGAGAGGGCAGCTGAACCGATTGGCGTGTATGGGCGCAGAGCTCCTAGTTCCTCGTCGTCTGTGATCTTTCATCAATATCAAGCTTGAGGCACTTCAGTCGTTGTGATGCTTCATTCGCACCAGCTGGAGATCAATTATCATTCGTTTACACTGATCAAAGTTTATCGCGGTCACAAATTCATGAAGGCTGTCACGATTCCAAATATTGCCAACTGCAAGTTGTGAGCAGCTTTGAGCTAGTCTTGCTTTGGTATGAGGAATTTTTTCTACCGATACTGTTTTACCTTGTCGCTGTAAATTTTCAACCAGCCGGACGATGTTATGTACATTTAATGTGCGATTTGTAACTTTTTGGTAATATGGCAGCCTACCGATAAACATTGACATCAACTGCGAATGTAATCTCTTGTAGAAGGGTAGACCCGGAATGTAATATCACGATGGCATTCATTTTGAATGTCATTATCTGCGCATGATATTACACGTTCCGTGTGACAGGGGTGTAAGTGAGCTGAAGGAATATGACTCTGTGGTCACGACCCTTTCCTGCAGAGACATGTGGCACATTCCCATATACCAGGGGCCACAATATGCGGGTATGTGCCACAGGTCATTGACAGTTTATATCTACCCTGGAACAGCGAGGGCAGACAATAGTAGCTGAAATGTGAGAGTTGAGAAAGTCTCACTTTGGCAGCATAGACCCGACGAATGCAAAAATAAAAAAATCAGGATATGACAGGAAGTGAAGCATTATGCTTGCTTTGGCATCGGGTGGCAACCACAGAATGATGCCAGGTTTTGAAACTGCTTTGGAAAAAGACACTATGTAGGTGTGAGGTCTGTGCAACTTTAATTATGGTTGCAGTGCTGGCTATATAATTTTATAACAGAGCAATAAATGTTACATGTGTAAACATGACACAGGTGTCATGCCAAGTTAACGTCAATTGCAGTTGCATTGTTGACTCAATTTTTATAGCACTCCTATAAACATTGCATTGGTATTCGTACGATTCAGCTAGCTATATTGAAGCATTGCTCGATCCCCGGGCAATGCACGAACGAATGTGATGTGCGATTTCAATAATACCGGCATCTGTGCTCTAATGAGGGTGAGGATGTTATGTCAGTGTTGTCACCAGTGGACGCCAGTGTAGTGGAAGTTCCTGTTAAGCCCAGAATTCACACACAACTGCACTCAGCATCGATGCACCTCGTAACACTTCCCTCAAAGCCCAAAAAAACTCGGCAGAGGTTTCGGCATTACGCTTCGTGTAACCAACATCGCAGACTAATGCAAGAATAATGTCAGTTGCAGTGGTGTTACGCAACTATGAACAACCAGTGGTCACCTCTTTACATGTTTTCTAGATATGGGAATACGTATAAAATTTAGACATATATTCACCGAGTACTAAATTTATCTGCCTTGTTAGGTGATGCTCATTTTAAAAGTCTGCAGGAAGAAGTTTGCCACATGGCAAACTTCTGCCGAGTTTGTCAACAGTAGAGTTGTGTGGGATTGAGGTTAATCTCTGCAGAGAGTAACACAACTGCTAGCTGTAGTGTGCCACAGAAATCGGGCAAGCCCCACTACTCACTTCTGGGCTACTAAATGTTATGAGCAATGTCAACCAATGGAATAGCAGTATACAGTTACCAGCTCCGCAGTGTAACCAGTTTTCTTGGCGACATGCCAGTGAAGATGCTGCAATATTTTTTTTGTCTTCTTCCTTTTTCAGGTCATGATACTTATCGTCGGTGCCCACAAGGCGTTTGCCTTGTACAAAGCCATTGAGGAAGGTGTGAATCACATGTGGACCGTATCTGCATTCCAAATGCACCCCCGGACAATCATAGTCTGTGATGAAGATGCAACCAATGAACTGCGTGTGAAGACTGTAAAATACTTCAAGGGCCTGATGCATGTACATAACCAGCTGGTTGAATATAGAGATGATGTGAAGACTGATGATGAGAAAAAAGCTGGCCAGCATTGAACCTTGTTCGTCGTAGACGATATTTTGCCTGTGCTGCACCATGATTCTGGGATTTTATAACGGTGTTTCGTGAGATGGACATTGGCACTTTAGTCCTTACAATAACATTACTTAACGAAGAATAGAATTTAATATGTCCTAATCTAGACCAATATATAATGTAACCCTTTATTAAATACATATAAACTGATATTTGATCCACTTGTTCAAGACTTGTTTTTGTCAATGAACTGCATGGTAAGTATGATGTGTCCTTAGAGGGGAACATTTTTTTTTCATCTTTAGGCAGCAAAGTAATCATGTTTGCTTTAGTCACCTTCCTTGTGGGGACATTCATTTCACAAGTCTTTTTTGTCTGCTTTTTTCCTACTAAACTAATGCCTACAGCGCACTACCTCCTCCTAAACATCTTTGCAGAACTAGCTCTGAAGAACCCTGGTTTTTAGGTCGCGTGCACCCATTTCTCTCTCTCTCTCTCTCTCTCTTTCTAGAACGAAATGAACACACTCTGTAATAAAATTCACTTGGTTTCTCGGGAATCCCCCCCCCCCTTTTTTTTTAACTTGAGGGTAGCAACTTTTATGTCCCTTAAGTCGCGTTTAACTTCGCGCATGTGATCAACCGCTGCCAAGTGCTGGGTAAAGTGTGGCCTCCGAGATCTAAAGCTAGCAGTTTTTTATCTCAAAGGCAATGTCTAATTTACGCATGTTGCGTTGATTAATGCTCTCATTGACAAGCACTGATTTAATGTAATCAGTAATCTTGAATCAGTCAAAGTTACTTGCAATCAAAATGATTTCCACGAATCAACCAACGCACAGAAACAAGTTGCAGAGTGAGAGCACAATTTGATAGAACAAGCGGCAGTGGTTAATCTGCCCTTTTGTTTTTTTAGTACTTTGCGATATCTAAAATGATATTTTATTGGATCTCTCATCTTTTGGTTTTACTACAAAAAAAATGTTCGAGCAGCACGGAATATTTGACGTCGTAATAGCAATGCTCACGTCTCCCGTCAATATTGCTCTCAAGTTATTTTGAACTTATATTGACGTCCGCTCTGAGCGTTCTGTTCGTTCATGTTTTTGTGCGCATCGGCCGGTGGAACATTTGCTAGGACAAGTAAGTCTTTGCTGACAGAAACAGAATGATCAACCGTTTCTCCTAGCTGCTCTGGATCGCGCGCAGCTGACGCTTGTGAGCGCGGCGAGCGCCAGTCTCGCGTGCAAACATGAACGCAGCGATATCGAAGTTCGTTCAGAAGAAGGTCGTCTACCCCGGTGTCGGCGAGATCCCACGCTTCGAGAAAGGTGCCAAGTGCACGTTTCACTTTTGCGTGAAGCGCCTAAGCACCGACGATGACGATCCTGACGGTGTTATCGACGACAGCCGCAAGCTTGGGCGCCCCATGGAACTGCTCATAGGCAAGGAGTTCAAACTACCCATTTGGGAGCAGTGCATAAAATCTATGAAGGTTAAGGAGGTCGCCGAGTTCACGATAAACAAATGTTTGCTGGACAACTACACGCTCGTGTCGCAGAGCTACCGAGCCTTCGCGGGCGTCGGAAAGCCGCACAAACGCAGGTGTTGCGGCATGATGGAGGAGAAGTTCACCACTGGTCACGAAGACCTTGATAAGTTGGCGGAGAAACTAGTGGACTTATCGTGCACCTTCGAACTGGTCAAAGTGGAAGAGCCGGGTGAATACGAAAAGGACGTCTGGGCGATGACGGCCGAAGAGAGGCTAAGTGCTGTACCTACCCTGAAGGAGCAGGGCAATCAAGCTTTTCAAGCGGGCGACATGGACACAGCCATGAACAAGTACCGGGAAGCCCTGGAGCACTTGGAAAACTTGCTGCTTCGCGAGAAACCTGGCGACGAAGAGTGGAACGAATTGTACAGAATGAAAGTGCCGATCCTTCTGAACTACTCGCAGTGCCTCCTTAATCAGGGTGAATACTACGAAGTCATACGTCACACTTCCGAAGTGCTCAGTAAGGATCCCAACAACGCGAAGGCCCTGTTCCGGCGGGCGAAGGCCTACTTCGGATCTTGGAGTCCGCATGAGTGTCGCGCGGATCTGCTGAAACTTCAGGAGGCCGACCCGTCCCTTTCCAAGGTTGTGAGCAACGAGCTCAAGAAGCTCGAAGCTGAAGAAAAGAAAAAGAACAAGGAGGACAGTACCAAACTGATGAGCATGTTCAAGTGAGCAACTGTGTCGTGCCTGTACATGCAAGTTCTCTGAGAATGGCCGCGTATGCGCGCAAAAGAGCTTTTCGTGCTAGTCGAGGTTGAAGAAAATAAATTTATACTATTTGTTAGCAATTTTTCCGTGTTTTAATATTTATGGTCTCTGACACGATTTTTTTTTTCTTACAATCGTGTGAGAGGCCAGCTGCCTCTCACACGATTGTCTGCGATTCTCTCGAATCGACGAGCAAGAAGGCAGCCAGTCGAACCACTTGATTGTAAAATCTTTATTTAGGTCAGTTACCTTGGTGCTATAAATAAGAACGTAGAGCGTTTGGCGAATCGTCGGTGTTGTGGTGTCTCTGTTGTATCGGGACTGCAAAGATAGAAAACACACATTTGCCGATTTGTCGAAGTAAGCGCACTAGACCTCGGATAAGCGAAACCTGCCCTAAACTATAACGACGGATCGACGGAATGGTGTAACGTCAAAGTAGGTTGGCCGGCCATGTGCACAATATTCAACGTGCCATTTCAGTATTAGCGCACAACACAAGGACAGAGTGACGTCTTGTGTAGCGCTTGATGCTAAAATGGAAAACCAACATGCCCAAACTTATGGTGTTTCACAAAACGTGCGTTGTAATGAACAAGTTTCTTTGTGAACACCAGGTAAGCGGAACTTCAGCAGGAACTACAATTTCGCTCTTCGACATTTGGTATTGGGAAAATTAAAACTTATAATAACAATAATAAACCATGTCAGGGCATCGTGATAAACTGTGTACAAAATCTAATCGGTCCGCCATTTGAATGAAAGTTAACAATACCGAAGTTGCCGCAACACATCTGTGATGAGAACTTTGCCAGTCAAGTAAGGATCGCTGAGAACGAAAAAGCCATGACTGAGTCGGTAGGACATTGGGAGTCTGGTTTCCGCGTATAGATTATTATAAGAGAGAGAGTTTTGAAAGCAGAGCTCCGCCAACCATGCACCACTATTTTTTTTTTTTTGCTAACATAATATCTAAGCACTCGGTCGTTGTTCAACAGCGTCGATTCTTGGAAATTTTCGTGTCCTTCTTTCTCTTCAGTGAAACTGAACAGGACACTCTCCTATTCCGTCCTTTTCTACTGTATATACGAATTTATGTCACCTTTCCGTCTCTAAACTAGACGTTAAAAAGCATAACAATAAAAAAGGAACATGTGGCATATCATTATCTGTGCGGTAGTTCACTAAATTGTTAAATATACTAATACATATTTACATTCTTTTCAGTGACTCGCACTAGACGAATTGCACTTGAGTAGCTTCGCTGCTACATATATATCAATGCAGGGAAGCCACACCGGCTACACCTTCAAAGGTTACGAATAATTGGGCGGAATGTCACATCAAAGACACCCAGACAACTATCAAGAATCCAGATAGTTATTCCAAGCGCATGCCATGGTTCAAATAGTTTAGATTATATAGTAACTGGCATTCTTATTCATATATGTCTATTTCACACTGATGGGGACCGTGAACGTTACACGGTCTTTGGCGTCCCAGAATGGACGGGTGAGAATGTGACTTCCACGCGCTACCCGCACAGCCGCATCGCACGTGTCGGGACCCCTGCCGCACCGAAGGGGGGGGGGGGGGGGAATGAGCGAATCGGTGACGCTCTTTCACCCTCCGCTTGTGTGCATGGAGAGACTTGTGATTGAGACACGTGCATCCGTGCAGTAAGCCAGTAACCCTCCATGTCGGCTGGAATATCCTTAACTTTTTTTTCTGTCACTCAGACAGTGTCTTATGAGCATTTAGGAGATCGTCGATTTCACCTTTACAGTTATACTTAGTTGCAACATAGTTTACGTTGCCAAAATGGATTACTGAGTGTAGTATCATCGGTTCAAACTAGATCTCTGCGTGAGCAGTCGAGTTAGTTTAGTGAGTTGAAAGTGAAAGCGATCACCTTGGTGTTTCATATATCATGGCTCTAGAAAGGACGTGTTTTAAAGATTGTCGCACAGGACATCAAGTTCCTTCGGCAGAAGGCAAGAAATAACTATAGTATACTCTACTAACCACTGAATTATCAGCTACCATATACGTGTCGAACCTAGCCGTGCCCGTAGCCTCCTCCGTGGTGTCCGTAGTGTCCCTTGTGTCCACCGTAGTGTCCATGGCCGTAGCCCCTGTGGCCGTGCCCGTGTCCATGATGACCGTACCCGTGGTTAGAGCCACCATAGTGTCCCCGCTTGTGCCCTCCGTAATGTCCGTGGTGACCGTGCGAGTCGTGTCCGTGATGGCCGTGCCTGTGCCCGCCGTAGTGGCCCCTGTTGCCGTGGTGTCCCCAGTGGCCGTGGTTCTCGCCGTGTCCCCCGTACGACCCGTGGCTTCCACCTCCTCGGTCCCAGCCCCACTTGCGCTCGTGGCCGTAGCCGCGGTCCTTCCAGTGCTGGCCGTGGTGCTTCCAGTGACCGTGCCTGTTCCCGTGACCCCCGTACGCGCCGTGGTTCGAGTGGCCACCGTGGTGGCTGTCACCCCAGCCTCCGTAGCCGCGGTGTCCGTGGTGACCGTGGCCTCCGTAGTGACCGCTGTCGTGGCCACCGTAGTGCTTGTTGCCGTGGCCATGGCTACCGTGGCCGTAGCCGTGGCTGTCGTGCCCGTATCCGTGGCCGCCGTGATGGCTGCCGTGACCCCCGTAACCACCGTGGTCTCCGTGACCTCCGTAACCTCCGTAGCCGGTCTCGAGTGCGACGAGGTCGTTGCTGAGTTTGTTGTCGCTTGCCGCGACTTTCGTTTCCGACGTGGCTACCGTGACTGACTCTCGCAAGCCATCCTTGCTCTCTTTGCACAGCGCTGATTTCCACGAACAGAGTAGGAGAAACTGTGAAGCCTGTATTACCTGAAAACGGGGAACGTTGTCATTCAGAGAGCGTCATTTAATATCCTGAAAGATCACTGTTTTTTTTTTGTTAGATTAGCGCTACGGGCTTTAATCTTATTGGTGTATCAGAACGCGCTCTCGGTATATTGTGCCGTTCGAACTTAAAAATAATAAATAGCGAAGAACACTTGATAACCGGGCGTACGACACTTCCTGGATCCGATTCCAAGCCGGAAAAGGTGTGATAGATTAAATACTGGCAAAGCCCCTTGTCACTCCTTCGTGGGACTATATGCTATATATCAGGTCTTCAAAGACGAACGGGAGCTTGCGGGGCGCCTCAGCACCATGCATCTAGCCTTGTGTCTCTGCACATCGCCTCAAGTCCTCAGGTTACCTTTACACTCTGCAGGCATCTGGGAAACGTGGTGACACCGTCATGCGTGTATGGATGGCTCATCGTTGGAGAAGATGTGGAGTAGAGACGCACAACGGAGCAGCGCCATTTTGCGTAAGCGTGCATGTGCACTCCTCAACGGGATATAAAGTAATAACAGCCGTTCGTAACGACTTTATACGTACTACGCCTATTTATTCAAGTTACGTCCAAGTACTCATCTATCTCAAGCAGTTACCCTGTAATTCGGGTGACGACACCATTCTGATGCGTTCCAGCTCACCGCAATTGAATCTGCCATTTTAATGCACACACGTGTCGTCTATTAGGTCGCATATTTTCCTTCTAAACCTGTATAAGGTATTCACACTTTACGTAAGGAATGGAGCAACACGGAGCTTGACCCGCGCTGCGGTGGTCTATGGTGTTTGACTGCTGACTCGAGGGTCGCGGGTTTGGATCCCAACCACGGCGGGCGCATTTTTATGCAAGGGCAGTGCCAGAGACCAGTGTCTTTACATTTACGTGCACGTTGAACAATCATCGTGGCACGAGCACCAGGAGGCTGGAATGCACCACGCGTTCGTGCGCTCGGGCTACGAGGAAGAGAAAGACATCTAAAGCTGTGCATCTCAGCTATACTCGGACTTTTATCCTTCGGAGGGATTACATTAGGTTATAGCCACAGAGAGGTTTTCTCTGCTGTGTGCGAGTACATAAGGGCAACAAAGAGATTACCCTGTTAGCCTATTGTTTTATTTACGGCTACGAGACTACCTGAATGCCTGACTTAGCACACTTGATGATCCCGCCGCCCGGTTCTTGGCCGATCCCCCTTTGTAGGCGAGTGCCAGCAAAGCTGAAGGTTCATCATCATCATCGGACTTCGACGACCATAGTCATTAGGCTCGTGGGCACAAGTTCGCTTTAATAAAGACGCGTGTTTTTTAGCCTGTTTGCCTCGGTATCGCTACAATTCTGTCGCCACGTACGGGGCCAACCTGTCGCGGCAATATCCTGCACATGCTGTTAAACGCGGAGTTGAGCAAGCACTCACCTTCGGAGAACGGCCCATGACTTTCACGCTGGTCGCGTGTGGGCAAGCAGTGCGACTGGCTAGTTTCCTCGAATTTCGCTTTTATACGACGCCCGTGGCGCTTACCTTTCCACGGACACCGTGCGCCCCACGTGGCTCACGGAGACGTCGTCGGGCTGCGCCTGTCAACAAGAACGTTTGAAACAGCTGGTTGGTCGCGAAAACAAGAAAAGTATAGTCAACTATAAAGAAGAAAACACGAACATTGACGAGGAAGAACAGTGACCGGATCCCTCCTTTCTTTAACGTGCAACCCCGCCCCTTTTGCTTTTATTGTCTTGAAATCAGCATGAAGCACAACAGAAAATTGTTCGGAAGTGTTGCCTGACAAATACCGCGCGAGGTTAATTGACAGTTTCCGCAAGCGCCTTTAAGTGTATAGGTAGTGACGCATTCAAGATGAAATGAAAAAAAAAAGTGTTCCAAGCACGCACCATGATTAGTTTTTTTTTTGTTGCTGTTGTTGTTGTTCTTGTGAATGAACTCTGAAGGTTTGTAGTTTTGAGCAAACTTGTGAGGCAAAGCTCGTTTTATTCATCGTATTTGCTCGGTCATTGGAGCAAGCTGTGAAAGAGCTGTTCGTGTTTCTCTAACAAAAGCGTGCGCCTTGTTGAACTCTTCGAATGCGCCCCTCACACCTCTACTCTTTTCCCTCCTTTTTTTTTTTCTCCAACCGATCTTTTCTTTAACTTTTGTTTGAAGTCTGTGTTCAGCTTCGCCAGCAGACCTGAAAAATTCCCGCTCGCGGTAACCACAAGGTCCAGACACTTCGCTCTGCATTGCTGGTTGTGGTGTCAAGTCGTGTCGTGCGCTTTCGTTCTTTTTATTTTTTTTTCTTCGAGAGCAAGTCGTTACATTATAATTGCGTAACTTGTCACGCCTTTTGGCCACAGCCAAATGTGACCAGAGTTCCTAGACCACACACACACAAAAAAAGGTGACAAGCCGAAAAGGGGGCTTGCTGTGTTGTAGCAGCGAAAGACACATGTCTGTGTAGCTTATTATACGTGATCATGGTATTTGGAATTGTTTTTAAGCGTAGTGCGACGGCAAATCGCAAGAATGTAGTCAAGCTCGCATGCGAAGCCTAGCTCTCACGAGCAAAGTTTTGTTGTGAAAAACGGAAAGTTACGTAGCGCTTAGAACTTGTGTACTTAGGGTTGTGGGAATTAACCTGTTATACTATAATTACGAAGAACAGTTGTCGCACAACATATTCTTGGTTGACCTTTCAGTGGCTTCATGAAGTGAGACTATACATGCTTGTCTCATACCAGGAGTAACAGGAGTAATACCAGGAGCAGCCAAAGAAGCAACGTAGATGATACTGCGATGAAAAAGAAATAAAGAAGGTGGGCACTGTAGGCCAGAAACAGAGAAAGGAAAATAGAAATTCATGATTATTGTTTCATTTCGTTTTCTCAAAGCACCGCATGTGCACTTGTGCGCCGGTATTCTCGTGGAGCTGTGCCTATATTACGATTTATAGAAATGTTCGGGCAATCAGTTAGTCGAAAGCAGTAGAAAAGTTGAGTGATTTGGAAGCCTTTGTGAGCTGCCACAGTCGAAATTATTGATAGTTTAGGTATTAATTAAGTTTCACAAACAAATCAACCTGTCGCAAATGACCTTCCCGTGGTGGCGGCTCGATTACGTGCGAGAAACCGTTCATTGGTAGATCTATAGCAACTGCATGAGATCCGTAGCTCATCGAGGCGGCGCGAAATCAATTGGTCATTTCGATAATCTGTGATTTTACGTTGTGCTTGATTAAACCTACTGATAACGTTGCCGAGCAAGGTGGGGAGGATAGCATACTTATGGCAAACGGAAAATAAATTGGAGTGGACGAAAAAACGATTCTTGCCGACGGGAAAGGACCGACGTATGCAACGAGTCTCGTAACGCGTCCTATCCGGATTTCGTCCACTCCGGTTCCTCTCCATTCATTATAGTCTACAAACGATGTTTCTTCTTCGTTCTTTGGCTTTGTTATCTGTTGACTTGATTAGGTTGTGGCAAACAAAAAACAAAAAAAAAACAGTAGTGTTGCCAGAATTGTTCGGGGGGGGGGGTTAAAAATATTGATATATGTCCGTGCGGGCGTTTGTATATGTGCGTGTATACGTACGTATACGCATGCCAAATTGAAAAATTTCACGGGGTTCGGACATCACCCTCCTCCCCCCCCCCTCTCACCTCCCTTGAATCTGCCAGTGAAAGAAACCAACCCTTTATCTATTCACTTTCTTTCGTTTATATTGTGCTTGTACGTCTACATCTTGTTCGGTTTGGTTAAGTTTACATGAATGCTAACTTTGGTTCAATTTACATAACTTCGCCAAATGCACCAATCTTTCTTATTTTCTCTTTTTTTGTTTAATCGTCTTGTAAACTTAGCCAAAACAAAACGCGAGTATCGAGAAGCTTTGCATCATGCACCCGAAATGGCTGCCGTTCGGTCGAGCGTTCTCGCATAATTTCTTCGGCAGGATAGGCCAAGTCGGGCCTGCGTGTCTCAGCAAGCGAGTTTCTGCCGCGCGTGCCGGCACTGCAGCCGTAACGAGTGGCCGCTGACCAAGCTGATTTGCCGCTCGCTGCCATCGCGTCAGGCGACGTCGGCTGCGCGAGGACGCCCATACTGTGGCATCGGTCGCTGCGGAAGTCACGCGCTGCATCCGATGAAGCGAAGCGAGCCTGGCGACGAAAACAAAAAAGGAGAGAGGTCGGCAAAACGAGGCGCATGTAGCAGCTCTCAAACTTCCGCTCGGGCGAGGGAAGTGACGAGGAAAAGGTGCTGCCACCACCGGAACGCGACACGCATGAGACGCCTAGGAAATCAAGTGTGGCCGGCGATCGCAGGCACCAAAGGGTACACGCGGGTTTCTTTCGC